AAAGTGAAACAATCGTAATCACGATATTCATTTTTTTTGTCTCGATTACAATATCAATTAAACAGTATAAACATGGAGCGACCTTCGGTACGGACTCGTCGGAAACCAGCAATTTTATTTACGACGTGTAAGCGTTTAAGAGAAATTGCATTAATCTGAATACCCGTTTGATATCATGTACGATGTTGCAATACACTGAGTGATCTTCCAATTCCTATAGGTAATAACAAACACGTCACAACAAACTATTTCGGATTCAGTTCAACTGAAAATAAAGTCAAAATTTCGTTGCATTTCGTCGTCCAAATACAACGATGGCACGGAGTTGAAATGTATGAAATTGTAGGACATGAATTATGGATTGTCGATATCGCTTCAAGCTGTTGCTGTATTTTTTTCGTGTTCCTGTGGCGCGATACCGCAGCGAATTAAATTAAAAGCTCTTTTCACTTGTCATCCCTTGATGAATTTGGTATTTAGGCTTATACGAACGCTGCATGTTATTATTTTTTATATCCACGACCGCGATATATACATATTTGGACTATATTAGTTCGGAGCTTGTAGGTAATGTGTATTTACAAAACCAAGCTCGGCGTTTATTTATAGTAGATGTTTTATGTCTGTTTTTTTTATTAAATCCAAGCAGATAATTTTATTAAAAATTGTTATATTTAAATCAAGTCAACTGACATTTGTTTGGAAAATGATATTCTATGAAATGATTTGTTCAATTTCATATCACGTAATTAAAAATATTTTGTCAAATTAAAGACTGACTGACTGATTATATATCATATGACGTCTTTATGTTGTACTAATTTCTCAGGGTCGGATTAAATTCTTAGCTTCAAGTACATCTTAACCGTTGTAAATAATCTCTCTCTTTCTAGTTATATCATCTTCCACACTTCCATCTCATCCATTTCTTAGAAATACCTTCCTTCTTATCTCAAGGACAAAGGGAAGGAGAGACTATGTGATATCAGAGTGATGCCTATGCGATTTAAATCACTAAACTTTCTTGACTACTATTTTTCGTTTAAAAACAAATTTTGAAAGTTTTGTTACATTATGCCTAGTGTCACTGTCAATGAATGAAATTAATAGAGAGTGCGGTACAGTCACGTAATAGTCTCACTCTTTTAATTTGAAAAATAAAGTCTTAGTTTTGAAAGTATATTTAAGAAACTTATTCTTTTCTTATTTGTGCTAAAATAACAATGTTTTATGAGTTGTGGTTCTCATAGGTGTGAAGAAACACCTGTCTCCACCGCAGAATCTATTGTACTTAATTAAAGCTGCAGCGAAAGTTTTGCACTTAAATGTTAATTTCCATGTGCCGTATAAAATGTAATTACATCATTAAATTTATATAATTAAAAAAAAAACAGCTTCATAGTGATACTTACAGCGTTTAATAGTAAAGAAGCATTCTTAATAGAAGTAATATTAAAAAAAACCTAATCTTTTGCGTTCCTGTTAAAAATGCCGTACAAATGTAGGTATGAGTACGGGAAATAACAAATTATACATACTATAGATATACCAGTCTATATATTGAATTGCCTGAAGTTTCCAACAGGTTTAGCAGAATACCAATTATAACACTCGCACTCCAAAAAAATTAACAGAAAATAAAGCCTCAAATGCCGCTTTACCACGTTACCGGTTCGTACAGTTGACCGCATTTTTTGACCCTTTACCTTTGTACACGATGTATAGCATGTAATCAGTACAAATGCGATCTGAGATAGCGCACGCCTCTCAATATTTTAGCACGCACTTTATCCAGATAAATGTAACCGACCTTTGCATTCTCAAGGGATTAGTACCGTATGGACTCTTGCATTCACCCTAGAAAAGGCATCTGTGATGTACTTCATAGTACTAACGATAATCTCTTGAGATTTGATACTGCTAAATTCTGGAGTCGTTTGGAACTTCGCTCGTTAGGAACACATACATGTATCTTGGATTCCCTCGAGTTCAGTTAAGTTATTTTCGCAATTATCCCAAAGCACATGGGTTCAGTTAGGTCTCTCGCTGTTAATGCTGGTATTGTTGAAGAGTCAACTACTGTTCAATTCGAAAAAGGTTAATCAGTTAGTTTTCTAACTGGAATTGCCATAAACTTTTTAGTATTTAAATTCATGCTTTAATCCTTATTGGCCAACGTGAAATTTTTGCGTACACATCCAAGTAATTTAAAATACTATTCTAATACTTTTTAATTCTAAAGTTTGCAATATAAACTTAATGTACGAGTATGTTCACCTTCTATAATTTCTATAAATCTCGCAGTTATTTCATGAATTCGGTCCACAGTGAAAACCCACATCATTACCAATCACTTTTCCCCTTCGCCTGTACCCAATTTTCAACAATGGCCGGTGTGTTTGTCCACATCGTCGTGAAAGTAAGCCGGCCCCTTCCGTGGCTATGATTTATGTTCACCCGACGACACATGCAGCGCTGCGCCCGACGTTCCTAAAGCTGCGATTTCGTTTTGGGCAGGGCAGACCAGCGACTGAGACATGGCATTTTAGACGTTTGTCTGTTCACTTGACTTTAAGACAGCTTGACCGAACGCTCAGTATAATAAAAAACATATGAACGACAATAGTGATATATATATACATAAATTAATTTATTTATTATTGAGACTTTTTCTTCTTCAAATTCAGTTAAAATTGTACGTACATCGAGTTTTCAGCATTTATTTCTCTATGTCTATATCAAATGATATTTTTGTTTATCAATTTTAACCACTATGTACACAAGCTATTACCTATCTAAATTAAGAAGCGTCGCTACTCTCTAGTCTCACCCGCCTTTAGTGCCCTCTTTAATGCTCTTATTACGGACGGTTTAAATCTGACGTTGGGATCATGTTTTATGCATCTGAGTGTGCGATGAAACCGCCACTGTAATATATAAAGCCCGCTACGAAGGGGATTTCATGAGCTATATCGCTATACATTGTTTTGGAATTTTCGGCGCAACATGAGGGACGATATCGTAGTGTTCTCGTGATGAAATTCACTGAATCTATACAGGAGTAATAGATTGCCGGAGTTGTCAATTTCTGTATTTATTTCTGGTGCCCAAAAAGAATGATCGTCAGCTACATTTTGTTACTATATAATGGTTAATTTTTATAATTTTATACGATTACAATAACGAGAATCACTGAATATGAATACACCAATGTTTTATGTAAATACTTTGGATGGGGTTCCATGTTTGAAATTATTTATTTAAACATACAACCCCATCCAAAGTATTCATGAAATTAAGTTTTAAATTTTATATTTGTATTTCATTTGTAAATATTAATCCAAACATTAAAAAAAATGTTTTAATGTTAGCTAAAAAATAATAAAAAAGTCAAAAATATTAGTCAAAATTGCTATAACATACAAAATTCTATAGAACATGACAGTCAACTAAAGTATTGCTCAGAGGATTGCTCAGGCTACTGTTCTGTCGTTATAGAAACCAAGCTGGTTTTAATTCCTGAATACAGGTTTTAACTGTATTCTCGTTGTTCAAATTACTTATACTCCTGTAGTATGACTTTAGACGAGTGCGTCCCAAATCCCGGCATCAGGACGTTATCAATTTCCCGAGCAACAAGTGGGCGATAATTTTGAATCCGTTGCACCAACCCTAGCAGACGGACTCTTTTACATCACTTCGTTAAATTTCTCTAGAAATCTTAAGATTTATGTTAACCGGTCAAAGGTTATCTATACTGATGACGTTGTACTTAGTAGGTCGTTTGTCAAAGAACGCACTGTCATTTTTGTTATCGATTACTTTACTTTCTTTTTTTTAATGCATCAAGCAGTTATGAATATTGTATTTCTAAGAAATTATCCGCGGTAGTGTGATACTTGGTTTTTGTATTTGCATATTTCTTCGAAGTTTGCGTGTTTATCTTGTATAGCAAGTCGTCGCGTGTTACTGAACTGAAAATCAGTGTACAGTTGCTTTGTATTACTCTGGGAACTTTAAACGTTTCTTAAAATATAATTGCTTGTTTTCGTTTGTAGGTTCGTGATATTTTAATTTGACTTTTTAATAGGTATACATATAGGTGTGTTAGTACATCATTATATTTTTGCATAGAAGTGAAGATTCAAGTTATCTTGTCCCTTTAGCTTTTAATACAATTTAATCGCGTTTGATACGTGTAGTTTCATTTGTCTCGGCTGGTTTGTTTTTTTTTTTTCATTCCAAATAAATTACAGTTCAGTGCATCATCTAAACCGTGTAGGCTTCGCATCTTCCTCGAAGAATAATGATTACAAAATGAAAAAGCCCGCGGCGTCTTAAATTATTTTAATTGGCTTCGGTAGCGGTTTGGTCCGAGTATTCACGCACAAACACATCTACCTTCGATTTTACGTAATATTACACACACATGATCACAGACACTCACACACATACATCTATAAAGTAATATATCAGAATTATTAAATATCTGTAAATTTATTCCTGGCGTCTACTTATGTCTCTCTAATAGCTTCATGTAATTATAGAACTGAGAGCAACTATAAGATTAATTGCTGAAGACACATATAATGTTAGTTAATCCTAAAGTATAGAGTAACTAATATCATTTCAACATTTAACATGGTAATAGAACTTCAAAGTTTACGCAAGTTACTTCATTTTTTATCAAAAAATGGATGACCCTAAAATAATGTACAACCTTTTATATGCACAGTGATTTCTGTTACATTTCAAGTTATACCGCCAGCCAAGAGAGTTGGCCGAGAAACTAAAAAACAATTAACAAGTTGATAAGCTTAAAACAATTTTCAATTAACTCCGTACCGGAGTGTTTACAAATAACCAACATTTATCAGAAATGCCTATGCAGTTTTTAATGTGCGCCGTCTGTCAGGGCTGCCTCCCACTTACAAAAAGGAATCCAATTAATCTGTTGTCTTTTTTAAACCTTATTAACATGTTTCATTATCTAATTTCAGAAAGGAAGCGAGGACGACAAACTTATACCCGGTACCAGACTCTCGAGCTGGAAAAGGAGTTCCACTTCAACCGGTACCTGACGCGAAGGAGACGGATCGAGATCGCGCATGCGCTCTGCCTCACCGAGCGCCAGATCAAGATCTGGTTCCAGAACCGCCGCATGAAGTGGAAGAAGGAGAATAAGACCAAAGGCGAACCTGGGTCCGGGGACGAGCCGGATAACATGAGTCCGCCCACTTCGCCTCAGTAAAGGCCTCTTAGATCGAATGGTCCAAACTACAGCTGTGTTGTTTCAGATTGTCTCGCCAGAACGACAAACTCCGTTTCCGCATTTCATTTTGTGTATACGATTGTTTTGTTCATTTGCTTCGAACGCAAATCTGAAACAGCACACCGCGAGACCGTCGCTACTTGAACAGTTTAATTTGTATAAATTGTATGTTGGACTTTTCATGATAATATTACATTATAACTAATACGTAACCTAGTGACTTCGAATAAAGAGTAATGATAGTGTGATGAAGAGATTTTTACAGTTGTTAAGTATAAATTAATTTATAGAAACAATCTCAATACCAATAATTACCAAAAACGCAGTGTATATGATTAGTAAACTGCATCATTTATGTGATTATTATAGTTGATTAATTATCAGTTGTTCGGTAAACTGCTGATTAGCAGTCGCTCGCTATGTTCTTTAGTTCTTCACAAAGTGCTTGATACAAGTTGGTTATATTTATTATAGAGATACTTTAAGTTGTCTATAGCGTGTACACATCGGTATTTACAAAAAAGTAATAAAAATTCATGACGTCCATAATTTATTGTTTGATTCCATGTCAAGCACTGTGTAAGAAATCACGAAAAAAATATTAAAATGTTCTCTGATAATGTTGAATCACAAAACCGTAAGGACCTCTTATAATTAACCATTGATAAGAAGGCAATTAATATCAATATTGTTATTATTTAATATATTTGATGTTTTATTTCTTAATTAAGCTATCTAAATACTATTCTGTACATACATACATGATAATTTTAGATTATATGATGTACAATTGTTTTAGTGTGAATAATTAATAATTGAGATTAATTTGAGGAACAACGACCAGTTTGGTGTTTGTGTTTTTTTGCAGTATGAGTGTTTTTATTTGTCGGTGGTCTCTTTTTGTTTCGTTTGTCGATTATATGCGTAACTCGTAGTGCGGAAGGCCAGTTTACAAGTGCAATGTATACGATTTTTGATGACACATATACGTAATTAATACCTACTGACTATAAAGGTCGTAGGATATCTACTATTATTGTAAAATGTTACGAGAAAGAAGCTTATAATTTAGGTGAATAACTTAAAAAGAACAAAAGAGATATTCTTAGAAGTTGTATTGAGGCAAGGTGTCACTGTGGGTAGTTACATCTTCGATACGAATGCATGCTAAATTCACATTATTTATAATGGAACAAAGTTACCTTCAATAATGTAGGTCCAGAACTTGACTCTTTTGATTTATCTCTTGTGGGATGTAGGTTTGAGGTTACATGTACACTGTATACCAAAGTTAGAAAATAAACCGGTGGTGTTTATATGAAGGACGTTGATACAGGAACGCTTGACCGTTTCAAGTAACCGTAATAGGTACATCATTTTGAAAAGGTATTTTTATAAAATCATTGATTAAGGAACCCGATATACGTAAAAATGAAATATCTAATATATATACTCGTAACACGTTAGTTTTACGAATATTATTATATAAATTGGCGAGTGCGAGAGAGAAAGGAGAACTTGTCAGGATTCAAGTTATACGTTTTTTCGTAATAATGTATAAAAAAGTACTATTTGTAAATTATTTTTCACATAGATTGTAATTAGTGAATGTTTTTAATGAGAACTCAGTGAGCCGGTTCTATAATTTTTTTTTTTTTTTTTTTTTTTTGTGCTGTGTTCGTTAAGTGAAAATGTAAATTGTATATTGTCGATATATTCAATATTTATTTATTGATTTGCTAATTAGGTTCGCTTACGTTTTCTTCTATTGCAATTGGTGGAGAATATTCGATAACTGTCTGGCTGGGATGCATTTTGTTGAATTATTTTGAATTGCTCAATACAATTTGTGTTATTATTTTATTAGAATTAGGCCGTATTGGGTTGTTATAACTTTTACAAGGTAAACTACAATCTATGGTTAAGAGATTTCTTATTTTTTTTTATAAAATGTAACCGACATCATTTCTTTAGACAATAGGACCTTGGTAATGTGTAAATACTCACTCCCCCAGTGAAAGTATCATTAGAAACGGTCACGTAGTTTCTGATAAAATCGCACAAATACAAACATAGGGGGAAATTGCTAACCTGCCTGTACTGAAGTCGGCTAAAAGACAATGTAAGTAGCGATTTAATAAATGCAATGTTTCGTAACATTATTAATCTAATCCCTTGCCAGACTAAACTTTGATTTTGAACTGTAAAATTAAAAAATTAAAAGTAGTTTTACTTATAAAGTTAAGTTCATGTTAAGTCTGTCAGGAGCTGTCCTCAAAACTGAAACTTTAGGTCTATAGAGACATCGGAACCTAATTTAAACGATTTTATTTACCATTAAATGTCCTATTGATTCAAAATTTATGGAATATAACTATAATTAGTAACATAATAAGGTTAGGCGAGACGATATTGTCATAAATATATAAATACATGAAATTAATAAAGCATAATGATTGTAATCTTAGATTTTTATTCTGAAACCTTATTTCTTGATGCTATTATAATATAAAACATGTACAGATTTAGTAGCCGCAAATTAACTTAAACATTTTTAATTTAATCAACACATTTAAAATGAGATGAGACTTAGTTCTAGTTAATTTATGGCAACTATAATATATCTCGTGACATACCTTTTTTTTCAACTGAAAGTTTTAAAATCAGAAGCATTCTTTTTCCTTTTTTAAATTTAATTCATAATAGTATACTCTTCCAATATTTACAAGTGTTTGACTTAGAAACCATTCGAAAAAAATGTATTGTTATCCTTTTCCAACTATCAGTGTTTTATAGGTAGGTATATCCAATTTTAACAACTCACATTATATTTGATCTTTCAATAGATGTTCATTACTTTACATACAATGTAAACGGCAGTTAATACAAAACACAACAAAACGACTTAGGGTAGACAAAAGTTGAAATACAGTAATGAAAGAAAACAATGCGAAGGAAATTTTTTTTTTTTAAATATTAGCATATTTAATTATTATTCCAGCATTTATAAAACAATGATTTGCTACTATGTAAGTGTACTAAGCTGTGCATTTTTTTTGTATAAAAACGAAAAACGAAAAAAACTTGTAACTATTAGGCGTTATAAAACAGACTAGTATACAATATAAGCATTTTCAGTACACAGACCTAGATACAATCATTATAATACTTAGGTCAGGCTAACGACAAAATAATGATTTTGCGTGATACCCTCGTACCTTCCGTGTCAGTCACGGTTGATTGGTGCCTCCCTACCACAAATCTCAAATCACCTTTTTTTACGAATGCTATATAATATATATACAAGGTGTGGCACACTCTAATGCGTTTTTAATAATCCCCCGCGACCAATGGCCGCTGGCCTCTTACGTACGTTCTCAACTAATGTGATTTTGACAAGTTTGGAATTGAGGCTATTATGGTTTTGCAGAGTTTTTAATGGCGCTGTATTTGTCTGGTGATTTCGGTTCACCGGAAGTTATTACAACTATTTTTTTAAAAATATAATTGGTTTGTTGACGTTTTCTAGGATTTATGGGCTTATTTTTGGAGTCTAATTTTGAAAAGCTGTTGTGTAATTAGAAATATTCCTTTGTTGTCGGCATACCTATTATTTTACACATTGCCTTATTTTTATTTTACCAATTCTTTGTTTATTCTGATATTGTTTTTTTATTCTATTAGATATTTTTTTTGCGTGTCATTTGAAATATATTTTTTAGTTTTTTTAAACACGTTAGAATATACCTATTAGGTACATACTTATAACTTTTATTCGTAGCGAAACTCAAATGTACTTATAAATAATTTTTGTGCGGTTTAGGTAAAATATTCTATTTGTAATGTTCTATAATTCTTTCCTATGTCTAAAATCCAAATTATTAGGTTGATTTTCAGATTGTGAACCAATAGTGAGATGATATTATCTGTTTAATGAAAAAACTGGTGCAAACCTAGTAATTATTTGAAAAAAAAATACGAAGATTGAGCACCCATTCATTAAATCATTAGAAATAAATACATTAGGTAGGCTCCAATTAGAAAACATAATGGATGCCTAGACAATACAGAATTAATTTAATTCATAGAATACCTACATCTGCCAATAATACACAAATATTGGCTCCAATATATTTACTATTTTTATCATACACCAACGGATGTAAACAGTCCAATTTCTTTCAATTCAGCTTCCAAAATAACTAGAGCTCTTATAGATTATGGAGTTAGAGGAGATGTGTTTTGTAGTAGGGGTCGTAATCAATTGGTTCGTGTCTGCTCTCGGCGTTGGTTGATAAGTGTTATTTATGATGTTCGTCAATGTGCCATTGCACTTGCTTTAGATTGGGTTCACGGTCATATTCAGATAACGCAATCATCTATACCTACGAGTATATTGCTGGCAGTTAGAACATATTCTCAGACGACAAAATATTACTAAAAATAGCTTTTAATTGTTTATTTTATTTACTGATGAAATTGTTTTGTATCATATTTTCACAATGAAAATGTCAAAACTTTGGTATTTCTTGCTGTTTCTTAACGATAGATAAGGTACCTAACCCTTTTTATATTAATTGCCCAATATGACTTTAAAAAATTGAAGAAAAAAACGTAATCCTTCTTCAAACGGGCCTGTTCGTCTCGTGGTCGGTGACCCTGACTGCTAAGCTGGAGGTCGTGGGTTCGATGCCCACCATTTATGTGTAATATGTATGTATTTAAAAATATATAAGTATGTTTAACAGCAGTCTGGTTACCATAATACAGGCTCACTATTATTATAAGCGAGCAACGCGCCTGTGACTCCTACTTGCAGGTGGCCTGGTCTGGTGGTTACTTTCCATCAGGTAAACCGTCTGTTGACTTGCTCACAATATCATAAAAACAGCAATTGTCAATATTTTCTCTGTTTTTTATTTTAGTTTTTTTTATTTATTTACCTTAGTAGCTACTGCTAAATGAAGGTAAATGAAGAGATAGGAAGCAGCAGTACTCAAACAATTCTAATGTCTGAACTTGTTGCGTTATTTTCCTTTATTGTCTTTATTATGTCTTATACGTGAAGTGTTATCATTTTATGAGCTTTTTTTGTACCTGTAAAGATTCAAAATCAATTTAGTGTCAATCTAACAAGATCAGAGAAGAGTTTTATTTCCAACTAGAACTGCTTTTATTATTTCAGTTAGATATATCCAGGGCACTGGTTACTCTGTCACTCTGTCAAATTAATTTATTGTAAACATGTTCAAAAGAGAGATAAAGTTAAAGAGGTTTAATATTAATTGCAATAGTTGTGTGTGTTACTCGGTGGGTACTGTAGGCAAAAACTCTAGTCTGATCGTTTAGTCTGATACTCTACCTATAATAAATTTGATTAAAGTACATGGAGAGTCCCTAAATAAATTTAGTGTGTTACCTAATTTACTAACTTCTAGATTTTAGAAAAAAATCTTAGAAAAAGAATATCTATTCACGGATGGGTATAATATCTTACTTATAGCTGCAGATTCACAAGTTCCACTAGAGTCACCTCTTCTTTTTTGTGTAGCAAGGACAAGGGGGTTTAACTCCCTCTCTGGGGCTGGATGTACCTCGTACGTCATAAAACATTTAATAAAATACTAGTAAAGTCAACCAATATTGAAATACACATACCTAGATATTGTTCTAAACGTCAATAAAATCTCAAGCGTGTGTGTGTGTGTGCGCCAGGATAGAGACATAAATCATGAACGATTTTTCACTTACGACCTTGCCTCATAACGCTCAATTTTATTGAATGCAATAAACCAAAGCAATGGTTAAATCAACACCGCTGTATCAATATAAACACCTCGTAAATATCCCCTGTCTTTGTCACACAAATTAAGTTTTAAAAGCGTGCGAGCGAGACCTAAAAAGAGCCTCTTCATTTAGCTTGTACTGAAAATAGTTTATGAGAGTTGTCTTGACTTATCGATTTATCGAACGTGGACTTTATTTAGTTGTTCATAAGAGTAATTTTGGTATGTGTTTTTTAATTTATAGCTTTGAAATGGGTCCTTAAATCGCAATAACGATTTGTTTATAGATTCTCGTAATGTCGGCGTACCTTTGAGAGGATAAATATAATTTATGGCCTCATATTAAGATACGTGTCAACGTGATAATTGATTTTATTGACTTTTTGACATTTTTGATAAAATGTGTCATACTTGGTGATTACTTAATTGATTTGTCGTCATTCGAGTAACAGGTTCATGAACATAAGTAGGTAGGTACCTACTTATAGGCAAAAATATTACCTACCTCTATGTTATTTATTTAAGGATTTATCTTTTGTTAGCAAATTTATAAAGTAATCATTTTAAGGAACAACAATTTTTATATTGTCTTTATCAAAACTAAAACTTTTCCCAATTCTCAAAATCCCTTTTTTCAAATTGTATATTTTGTTTAAAAAACCGTTACATCTCTAAAATTCCAAACTGAAATTCAAAAATTGGCGCGCGCGCCTCCGCCATTTTGTTTAGGGCGGTGTTCCCGCTCGGCCCGCCCAGGTCGCGCCACTCCCACGCGCCTGCCACTCGGACGCAGCCCAACTCATTTGTTATAACGTACAGTTCACCCAACAGGTTGCTAACCACGACATATATTTTATTTTATTGGTTTTAGTAAAACACTTTATGTAAATTATACCATATACAAAGATTACCGACATTTTATTTTTTGAAATGACCATAAATTTAATTTATTTTAAGTATGTATGTAGTAATAACAGTACTTAGGTACCTTTTTCACAAAAATCGATACCTTTCCATTAAGGTATGTGCGTCATTCCTTTGTTAGGTTGTCACGCAATAGATTGACACTACTTACTAAAGCACTTTTATGTAGCTAGTTTTACTTAGTAGAACTACTTATAATCGCTGTATAGAAATTAATATTGTACATAACAATCATAACATTCATACCTAAATAAATATTTGGAATAAATTTATTTCAAGAGACATAAGATTTTCTCTTAAGTATTACATTACCCAAATGTAACTAACACTTAAATGGTTATCTAATTATATTTGTACTAGGTGGGTACTATTTCTCATAAACATCTTAAGTTATTATAAAGCCTAAAGATAAGGTCCAGATAAGGATCAATCTAAAATAATGTTACTTTTAAATGGTGCAAGATATTTTCAAGTAGCTGCATTTATTCAAGAAATTTCTACATGCCCAAATTTGCAATATTTAGAATATTTCTTTACAATACTAGTAAAGTTTTTTAAAACAACTAAATAAGTAATTTAACATTTCAAACAAAATTTTATATAGGGTAAAAATGAATGGCGAAACTTGCGCCGCCTGGATACACGTCAAGTGCTGCATTTGAAGATGACACCGATCGAACTATAACCGTCTCATTCCCATATATGGTAAGTTATATCTATCTATCCTTTTTAATTAGAACTTTTTATTCGTTCAACTTCAAGCACAACGGTCTTGGGGGAGCAGTTACGTCACTTAAGGCAAGCACTTAACAAGTATACGTAAGTATAATAGTAAGTATCTAAAAGAATATTGTGTAGCGATCTCTTGAATTTTTTAAGTTGAACACAAATGAAATAGGATAGTACCAGAATAGATTTAAGTATTTTGGTATAGAACTTACTTATAAGAATTAAGTTATATCTAAGTAAGCTGGATTGTCTTAGAGACTACTTCGTAATTCCTAGGAAGTTTGATCAAAACAGAACTTATAATTACCTATTAACTCCATATAAATGCATATAACTAATTATTTTTAATAGATTTAATAGAAGACTACTAATTAAAACAACTAAAGCGATAAACTGCTTTGTTCCATGAATAGAATAGGATCTCAGGAGACTGCCCAATTGATCACCAGTTGGTTTTTCTATAGGATATGGGACGCTCTTTTAATAAGGACACACGATCTTATATTTATTAATATATGAAGAGATTTATTTTACAATCAATTTTTAAAATCAGTTTATCCAGGAATGAAAAAATATAATTCTTAATTTTTTAAAATAGAAACGCAGAAAGTTGAAACTTTCAATGAATTTGTGATAGGTAGGTATATATCTAAGTTAAGATATGAAATGAAAAATGCTAGAAGAAGCTAGAAATAAGGGTCTGGTATAAGCAATGTCTTAGATTGTTTATGTTCTACTGGTCGATGATTTAAAAGAAAACATTTCAAAATTTGGTAAAATATTAAGTATGATCGGAATTTGGCTAGCAGCATTTGGTATATATGATATAGGTACTGATATTTTTGGCATATAACCCCTAAAGTAATTGAGCTTAAATATAGCCTAGATATAAAAAAATTCATTACATTTCTTTGTAGTACACCTATATTTTATCTAAACGAAGACCTTTATAAGCAAAAGTAAGTAGGTATAGTAACCAGTTTTAACTGACAGTAACTCGTTTCAATGAAATTAAAAGCTATCATTACCGTAGGCTGTTAACCATCTATCTATCCGATCAATCATCGATTGCTTAGATGAACAATTAATAGGCAGGTAGGTATATGGAGGGAATGTCACTAAAGATGATGAACCTCTATGTTGATACTTACCTGTAGGTATGTATATATGCTTATAGCAGCACTTTACCAATAATTGCTTTTTTTTTTAAAGCTAATTGATGGTAAAAATTGTCTTTAGATTTTGGGGGATAGGTACCTACATGTTCTTTCAATAAAATCTCTTTTAGAGACGTTACACAAAAGAACAATACAACAATACGATTTTTTCAAACATACATCAAAAGCCTTTAATAGTCCACTGTTGGACATAGGCCTCCCCTTAGAAAAGAGGTTTTGACCTACTATACCACGCTGGTCAGACGGGATGGTTTCCTTCTTTTTGTAGTGCTGTTGTACTGCGTGGTTTGCTCCCTTAGTAGTAGGTGACACTCCGTAGTCTTAATCCGTCACCACACCAAGTCAGCATATGAGAGATAGTAATAATAATTGATATTTCCCTCTCACACAGACTTGAATTTTCAACTAGATAGGTATAACGTTATTGAGCTGAATCTGTGTGAGAGACTGGTGCCTATCTGTACTAGGTAGACCTGTATTACAGATTATAAAATAAAATAATACCAGCCTCTCCAGACTCGTTCAACGCTTCGCCTGAACATTTTATATAAGTAGGTATTGTAAAAACAACTGTACTTGAGCTGACATTACACAGCTTTTTGTACATATGGAACATGTGTAATGTCGTATTGATGTAACCATTTTCCTGTTTATTTTGCCTTGTGACAATGTTGTTTGATTTAATTTCATTTCAATTCATTGAATAAATTTCATGTTCCCATGGTTTCAGAGAGTACTGTCCACGTCTTAGTCAATAAATAGTTGTATGATAACGCCTTTATCAAAGTGAAAGCCATTTTATAAAAACATCACGACAGCACATCATCATGAAGTCTTAGCGTTCAGTAGGTAATATTATGATAATCCTTACTTACATGTTTTTATCAACCTGCTTTAGTCTGGATATAACCGGCTGTATTTTAAATACATGTGTGTTTTAATATGTATATCTTGCTGAACTACCTGTAATATATGCCTACCTACCTAGGTATATATTACAATTATAGGTATCAGCTTACCCCGGAGGTTGAATATCAGGAATGGTATCCACTGTCTCAATAGCGAAGTATAACAAAACATTATTTTTAAACATATCATTTATTTTAAAAGAGTTTATAACTGACATAACTTTGAATATTTGAAAGTATGAAAGATTTTAAACATTTACAGATAGACTTATTTATTTTATTTTATTTCTCCGTAGTAAGTTGTTTTTCATTATAAATTATTTTGACGAGTTTTATGATTAGTTCAATATTTAGTTCAATTCTTCGACTGACATTTTACAATTGCCTGCTAGTGTTATTTATAAATAGTAATAGGTACGTCATAAATAGATTTAGCTGGACGCGTGTTCGCTGCAACATTGTAGTAATGATTTATTGCGTCCAGAAATAAGTCGAAGTCATTGTAGCAAAGCACAGCCTATTATTATAAAAGAAGGAGGTATGCTCGGTATCTAATACCTTTAAAGGAGCAACTCTTATATAGGTATATATATATAATCTGAATCTCGGAAACGGCTCCAACGATTTTCATGAAATTTAGTATGCAGGGGGTTGCGATTAATTTCATTTGGCTAGGTTTCATTTTTACAAAAATAAAACCGCAAAGCTCGGTTATCCAGGTAAGTACTATGGATAAAAATAGCAAAAACCAAAAGACTGAAGAACTATTTATTTTTACTTATGTAGTTAAATAAAAACTCAAAATACTTAGGTATTTGGTAATACAAAAAAGATAAACAAGTGCAAAATCTGCTTTATATGATGGAGTAGGATTAACTTTGTACCTACTAACTTTTAAATTATTCGCGTTCAATAATAGGTATATAATTATGTTTACGGGGATACCAGTCTGAGACCAAGGCCAATGCAACCTGGTCAAAATATCAGACAATTCAAAGGTACTTTACATTACTGTGAATGAAATACCAATCGAGAACGCGTTTATTCCATAAACGTAATTTTGTAAAAAAACATTCCATAGATATGGGTATATATGTCTATTACTTATAATCTTTCTCAGCTACTTTTACAATTTTTATTTTTACGTATTTACTTAAGTTTTTATTGTAAACAAATATCAAGTAAATTTGATTACTTAGGTAGCTTAATACTTACATTTGCTTAGAAGCTAATGTCATAACGGTAACCGAAAAAATTTAGCAATCAACTTATAGACACCAGTAAACTTTTTGTGTTTTAGCAACCGGATGCCTCCATTTTACCCACATAAAAAGTTTAAATATTCTTTAAAACGTTACTTTCTTGTCTACCGGAAATATTAAATGCTGTCGCAATAAATAAAACTATATTTGAATTTAGAATGGTCCAAACAACAAAGAAGAACGCGACAACATTGCTCTACTTAATGCTAAGAGACCAAAGACCACGGTGATATTAAAAATTATAAACCTTATATAAAATTAAAATACTCGTTATTTCCCGCAGTTTTATAAACGTTTATTGCCGTTCCTAAGAGCAGTAGCGTGATGTCTTATAGTCTATATTATTTCTAAATAAATACTCTACCCAACACAAAAATAATATCGTTCGAATATGACTGATAGAGATTAGCATGTATTAAAACAAACAAGAAACCCTGTAGCTTTATTATAGTATAGTTTTAGACCAGGGATTCCCAAATTATTTTGGGCAAAAGACCCCTTTTATAAAATGAACTGATACCTTAGACTACAGCTACAGGGCTAAATTACTGCACGCTTAAAGTACAACAATGATACTTCTTACTAAAATATTAGTCATTTTTATAACAAGGTGGTACAACAATAACAACACGTAATATAACTAATACAGTATCTTGAAAGTTTCAAATGAGAACTAGTGTTAATTAATAGGGGTTGATTTTTGGATCTTATCGACCCCCAAACTCAGTTTTGAAAACCGATTTCGACCCCAAGGGGTCGATATCGACCACTTTGGATATCCCTGGTTTAGACCTTTAGATAAATTAGGTTTAGATAAATATTATACATACGAGAGTTATTATTATCGAGCAATTGACAATTTTTAGATATAAAATAATGTCTTTATTAAAACTCGTCCCTTATACTCAGGGTAAGTAATAAAAACGGTTCTAGGTAATCATTTGGGACTGAAACTATAGTTGTGAAATTATATTATGTGTAATATATCTATGCCTTCCCTTTAAAGATACAAGAAATATAACTAAAAACAAACCTTTAATCTTTGACTTGGCAACTATATACCATCGATTCGATTAAACGACACTGTTGATTAGAATTGTGTTATTTTTATGTGACTCCAATTTGTAGGTATTTATATTGGATTGTGAATGTCATTCCCGATTGTCGATCTGTCTGTCACCCTGCCAAGTTTTCATGTTTTATCACCTCTCTGATATTTAACGCTGAGAGATTGTTTATATAAACGTTGGACATGAAAAGGTTTTATTTAAGTGCAGGTAGTGTTTGGTCCGTCGGCTGTTACCAAATTGTGGATCGACCAATGGCCGCCGTCGGATCGTGTTCCATATTACAGCTCCAACGACATCAAAATAATATAAAATTTAAATAGATGGTAAAGACAGTACAGACAGACAGACGTTCATGTAAAAATATTTTTGTTTATTATTAGAAGTGTTTATTTTAGGTATTTCAAACATAAACGAAAAAAATCTAACGGGTTCCTCTGTGTTGTCACTTTGTTCCACATATTAGAAGTAGACTATTTAGTTTACGAGAGTAGTTAGTGAATTCAGGGCCAGGTCAGGTCAGTTGGATCCCAGGTGGAATAATTGTGTTATGAGCACAATTATTTGTTCTGTGTGTGGATGGAGTTTATTTGAAAATATGTATATATTTAGTAATACATATATAGGTACAGTGCTTAGCTTGGGATCAGACAGCCAAGTGTGAAATGAATAAAGTTATTGTTGTTATTACACGATTCAAAGCTTTCCTTTTTTTTTAACGAAAGTGAGACTACATAAAGAGCTGTTTCGTGTTCACTGTCATGATAAAAATAGAATTTAATTAAGTTTAAGACTTAAGCTAGCTTAGCTTAAGGAATTTAATTAATTTAAAATGAACAAAATTAAATGTGCGCTTATGCTTGTACCACATACTCGTGTAATGTTTACACTGGAATTGACAAGATAATATTATATCTATAACAGACGTCGGGAAATACCGTAGCGCTGTTAATTGGTCGTTAAAAATAAAATATTTACACTTACCGACATTATAGCAACATAATTGATTGCCACTCCATTTAATTTTGAACATAAATTAATTAAGTAGATCTGACTGTCAACCTTTCGAATTTGGCAATAAAGTTTGATTTGAGTCGGAGCTATTTTTAGGTATATGTAACATATGACTTCTAGATTTCCTGCAATCTGTGGAAGTGATTTTGTGAAACGAGACTGAAATGTGCAGCAGGAAACCTGAGAAGGGCGACCAATAAACGTGTAGGTACTAGAGTTGACCGTCAGATGGCAGGTAAGGTGTTAGATGTTACATGTATGTCCTATTAGTCTGCTGTAAGCGTTCGTTTTTAATGTAACTACTTAATGTGCAAAAATACTAAAATAATAGAAGACGAACAAATCTAAGATATTCCTCACGAGTTAAGAACTCTTAAACATAGAAGATAATAGGATTTGACTGGGTAAAGACTAATTAAAGACTATTGACTACTGAATCTTAATGAGGTATACCTACTTTTTAAAACTAATAGTGACACCATATAATAATGCGTACATCATGTATTAAATAACCACGCAGGCAGCATTGTTGTTTGTGTGTTCTTTGCTCTCTTACGAAAATTATTTCTTATCGAAGTATGTTTACTGGATTTTTTATACACACTCATTTTAAGGCTTTAATAAAAAGCAGAATTCAGGACTGTGTATGATTATATGAAACATGTATGATTTTATGAAAAACATATTAATTTTTAATAAAATAACCCTTAGGTAATACCTCTATGTATTCACGTGCGAAATGATTAATGACCTCTCTACACATTTTTCTCCTTACTTCTCTAACTCAGATCTGAAAATGTCCCCTCTCACTCTCTCTCCCCTCTCGCTTTCTTAGTTTCTCATTTATCTTGATACTGAAAGACGATCTCTTTCAGTAACATTCCTCTCTTAAGAAATACTGGCGACCCTATTAAGAAAAGCGCTGTTCAGGTAATCAGTACAATTTATCGGTGGTATTCTACCTTCTCATTTTTCTAATTCACGTCAATTACATTGCCTATATTCCTGTCACCGATAAATTAATTCCGTATTCATTCAACCCATGTTTAAATGACAAATGTTTGCTTTTATTACGTATTTAGATTCTCAAAATACTTAATACTTCTTCAAACCTTCAAGAAAAGAGCTTAGTACCATCTCAAACTACGTCAACGCGTTTGTGACTCCTGAGTTGCAGGCGTTCATGAGCTACGGTAGTCACGTTCCATCAGGTGACCCGTCTGCTCGTTTGCCCCTGTATCATAAAAAAAAAGAAAAAACTACAAAATATTAAATGGTGGTTGACTCAGTCGATGTTTGGTATACATACAAGTTACAAACTAGGTTTAAATAAAAAAGTGAAACTTGTCAAATCATTTAACTGTCAATTAACAGTAGTACTTTTATGCGGTTCCCAGTTTTCTTACAGTCCAGATGAGCAGCTCCAAGCTTTCCGTGTGACTTGACCATGTGCTATATTGCCCCTTTTGTAGTGAATAAAATTTTACTCCGTTTACAGCTAATTCTAAACCAGTTTCTGCGCAAAACACACAACACACAAATACATAATAAAACCTGTATAATAGTCCCATATGTCATTTGCAGTGCCGTTTTACAAACACAATATTTAAATGTAATGTGATGTTATTTAACGGTATTCATTCAAAGATTGATGGCCGCACCCGAGACACGACACTGTGTTTCACCGAGTCATTTTTGTTTAATACGTTGTATAAGAGTTAATATGCCATTGTAGTAGTTAGAAAACAGTTCAGTGTGTCGTTTATATTTGCTTTGTCGGTCCAAGGTTAGTTCACATCATTTGCATAGGCATCTTGATGCAAAGTGTTCAGTCACGATCTT